TCCCGTGCCCGACTCCCCAGGCCTCCTCCCCCACCCTGATAGTATCTCCTATTCCCATTGTCTTCCCCCTTCAGTCCCCTCAAGGAAGGGGAATGTGGACCAATGGGAGAGATGCCAGTGGGAGGGGCGGGCTGGGTGGGAAGTGTCAAAATAGGGGTGAACGGGCTGGGATGTGGGGAGACTGAGGGAGGGATGGAGTGAAGCCTGGCGAGAATGTAGGGAAGGATGCTGGGCCAGATGGGGGCTAGGATCTAGGTCAGGAGCAGGGAGGGCGATCATTCGCTTCCCCTCTGGCCTGAGTGGCAGCTGCCATAGCTGCGTCCGAACTATCCACGCTCCTCGGTCTCCAGCTCCATGGGAGGGGGCACATCTGTGTGTAGCTTTGCACAGCCTTAGCTTTCTGCTCCAGGACACCAGCTGAGAATCAAAAAACTCCCACTTTGGAAGCAATGGGCGTGTGAGTGTATGTGATGGAGGGAGGTGAGAGTATGGGGACGACCTCCGGGAACCTGGGGGCATCATCATGCAGGGCAGAAGATGGGCTTTGGTCTGTGAATTCCCGTGGAGAGCCCCCACCCCGGGACCCCACTGTTGAGTCTCCGGAGCCCAGAAGAAAAGGGGGGCAACAAGGACACACAGCCTCTATGCCCAGAGTTTAGGTTTAGAGTGGGTCTTGCCTGCTCTAGAGGAAGTGCTCCGCCCAGAGATTAGGCGGCCCCAGGAGCCAGGCCTCCAGGATTCCTTCCTGCTGCCGGCTGGGCCCTGACCTGGTGTACCATGCCGGTGTGCTGCCCCTAGCCCTCCGCGTCCCACTTCCGGCCTCAGTGAGCCTACAGTGCCTCTCCCTCCCTCAGTGTCAGCTCTCTAACCTCCCATCCCTGCCCCTTCCCGACGTGACTGAAACCGTAGCCTCGGGTGCAGCACTTTGGCTAAAATTCCATTTATTGACTCCTAGGGGCACAAAGTTAGTTCAGGTGCAAGTCAGATGGCCCTCGGAGAGTCTCGGTTAGCTGCCTCAACTCCTGCTAGTGTTACACGGGTCCTGCGGCCCACTCCAGACTTGAGGTTCTTGCGGTGGCCCTTCTTGAGAACCTACTTGTGGGGGGTGTGCTGCCAGCCCCCAGCCCATGCCCCAAAGTGCCGGGTGCTGCGTGGACGAGGTAGTTCTTCCTTGTATATAGAGGTAGTTGTTGTTTCCAATCTGTACCCCTTGGCAGTCAACTACGGTAATAGACGGGGGCCCTTTAAGAGAAACAGAGACGGTGGTGGGATGGTTGAGTAGTCAGAAACTCAAAGCTGGGAGGAGCCGCAGGGCCGTGGGGCAGCGGCCCCTCGTGTTCACCCTGGGGAAATGCAAGTATTTCCCCTTCCAGCTGCCCCTTCAGAATCGGGTTTGCAGAAGCTCAAGAGGAGTGGCAACCAACGTCTGGCACCTTGATATTTGGATCTTTTCCACTGGGAGGCCCTCTGGATTGACAAAGCAACAGTGGCATTGAGGAGTTCACAGAGTTGGTGCTGGGGAAAGTCAGAAGGCCCCAGGGGCAGATCCAGGCCGTGCTGTGCGACCTCAGCAGGATCCCATCCCAGTGTGTGTCAGTTTCTTCATTTATAAAATGAGAAGGTCAGTGCGCATGGCCTCAAGCCCTTTCTCTCCCCTCTCTGCAAGTTACCCTGGATCTATCTACATCTTGAGGAATAGGCTGGTGGAAGAGTGAAGCAGGGGAAAGGAAGGAGTGGGGAGTGAAGGAATACCTGGTGTCGGATCTGTCCCTGGTGCCCTGGGAGGCTGGTGGGCGCTGTGTCTCTCAGCCCCCTGTGAACGACACTCTGCTCTCAGGCTCCCTGTCCTGGGGTCTGTTCCCCCACCGCACACCCCCTAAGCCCCAAGTGTTCCCTGGCAAGAGGACAGGATTCACAGGCGCCCTAGTGCATCCCTTAGTCCTGCCAACATCTCACCTGATTCCCTTGGGGCCTAGGACCTGGGGTCCAAGCTGAGGTGGGGATCTGGCTTCTGAAAGGTGCGTTCTCTGGAGTTTGGGGAGGTTGGGCTGTTGAGTCAGATGTCCCTGCTGGCCAGCCACGCTGAACCTGCCGTCCCTGTGCCCTGATCCTCTCAGGACGGTTTGTACATTTTTCAGGAACAGAGTTGGGGGACCCCTCCAGATTCAGGTTGCCCAGCATCTCAGAGACCATGGAATCATGGCTTCCTGTGGTTCCCCCAGGGCCATCCATTTCTGTCCTTCCTGGGCCTGGCTCAGGGGCAGACAACATCCTGTTGCTGTCCCTGTGGTTAGACATGAACTTCTTCACCTATAAGGACAGGGGGCTTGTTGGGTGTGGATGTGGGAGAGCAGAGTCAAGCCAGGGGAGGAGTCTCCTGGTCCACAATCTGTTGCCTAGGAACTCAGAGGTGGGATGGGGAGACTGGAGATGAGGGTAGAGGCATAAAGAACAGGGGTCATGATGAGTCACTGGGTGGCCAAGGGAGCAATGTGTGTCATCTCTGACCTGTTCCTGGGTAGGGGTAGGTTGTATTGGATACTCACCCTGGAGACAGCATCGTCTGTCTTGTCCTTTACCAAGTGAAAAACGTTCTTGGTTTTTGGTTGGCATTCTGGAGAGAAGGCAATGTGGGTGGCAGGGGAGCAAAACTTCTTTTCCAAGGCAAAGCCCCCTGCAGACAGATCCAGGCCTACCCCAGCTGCCAGCTAAATGGCAAGCTCACCTTGGAAGGAGGGCCTGTCCTTGGGTTCCTGGCTCCAGCACTGCTGCATTAACTCCTTCAGTTCTTCCAAGCCAGCAGTCTCAGGGCCAGGCGGGGGCAGCTCGGTCAAGGGGGGCCGGTTCTGCCTCTCGCATACTGCTTCCTGCACCACTGATGTCTGGGTCACCGCTGGGATGGGGATGGGGGACACACAGAAAAGGTATTAGGATATGAAGGGCCACCTGTTCCATCATGGAAAGGGGCAGGGAGTGTAGTCTAAGGGAAGGGGAGGACGGAAGAGGACAGCCTGAGCAGGTAAGCAGGAAGAGGAGGGCTGGGGGCTTGTGGAAGGAGGTACCTCGGGTTAAGGATCCCAGAGTGTGCCCAAAATCTTACTCTCAGCTTCTCTTCCAGCTAGCAGTGCCCACATTAGAATCCCGAAGCTGCACAAGACAGAAAGCTGAGGCTTGGCCTGACTACTGGCAAGACCCCTCTCCCATTGCCTTCCCCTAAAAGGGCCCAGAGAAGTGTAGAAATTGGGGATGGGTGTTTGCATTGATTACATTACCTGTAGACATCACTGGCCTTGGAGGCCTTCTGGTTTACATCAGCCAGGAGTTCTGGGGCCAAGTAGGCTAGGGTGCCCCCTGGCTCCCCAGACCATGACCCTGACCGTGAGCCTCCCTGAAATGTGGACAGGCCAAAATCTGCCAGCTGCAAAAGGAGGGAAGAAGGAAGAGGTAGAGGATAGACAGGGCCAATCAGCTTCTAGAATTCCCCCCCCCCCAACCCCCCACCCCGCTGCCCCGCTGGGAGATGCATGCAGGTCCAGCCTTGTAAAGGAGGTGTGGAGAGCTAGGGAACATTCGGACCAGTGGGGCCCTTGAGTTGGAAGTCTGGGTCCCCTCTCCATGGGGCTGGGTCAAGGTCTGATTCTCCTGGGCTAGGTTAGTCATTGGTCTCTGGAGGGCCTGGTGGCATGGGCCTATGGAACTGACTGGGTTGGTCAGGGCCTCTGTCACCTGGTAGGATAGGGCTAAAGCTCCTGAGTGGACTTTGACACTTGGGCAGCCCTGTGTCCAGAGGGAGATGCTGAGGTCATTCAGTAGCCAGGACTGCAGCAGGTCCTGTGTCCCACGGGTGGGGCTGGAGCAGCTTAGGGGCAGGACCTTATCCAGAGGCTGGGCTGGGGTATGGATGGGCTGACCTGGATGTGCAGCTCTGAGTCCAGCAGGACGTTGGAAGGCTTGAGGTCTCGGTGCAGAAGGACAGGGTTCTGGCTGTGCAGGTAACACATCCCAAGCACCAACTCCAGCAGCAGGCGGCAGCAGAGCGGCCAGGGCCGAGGGCACTGGGGCTGCAGCAGCCCGGCCAGGGAACCGTTCTCCATGAATGCAGTCACCAGAGCTGGCCCGGACACGTAGTCCCACTCCAGCTTCTCAGTGACCCCCAGCAGGAGCAGGATGTACGGGTTACGCAGATTTGCCATGGCCTTCACCTCCCTGGATATAGCTTCCCTACACCCCAGGAGAGAGTTGGAATCAGCTCTGCTTCTGGGAAGATCCCTCCCTTCCCCATTCTGGCCCCACCACACAGCGCCCTGCTTCCTAGGCTAGATACCAGCACGTCTGCAGCTTGGGTCACTCACCGGTTCACGATCTTGACCGCCACATCGTGACCCCAAGAACGGTGTTGCGCCTGGAACACGGTGCCAAACCCGCCTTGGCCAATGAACTTTGGGTTCTCCAATTCCTTGATGGGCACCAGGGAGGCTGGGGCTCCGCTGGCCCTGAGAGAGGGAGCCTCATTCACCAGCTGGCCATGGCGCCAAGTCCGTGTTGCTCCCAGCATCCCCCTGCCTCCGTGACCCCCGGGACTCGCATTGCCAGTACAATCCCTGGCCTCCCCTACGGCGGCCCTACTCTCCCCCCGGCCCTGCCACAGGGCACAGACGGATTCCTGAGCAAGTCCAAAGGGCACCCTCTGTGTCTGTCGGAGGCCACTCTCCACTCACCATAACTTGGAGCAAGACATCAGGCTGGAAGAGGTTATGAGCCCAAAAGATGGAGTGACTTCTGGGTGCAGGGGCTTGCGGCAGAGATGGAGAGGGGGTTGGGAGAGGAGTCAGTCTCCAGGCCGCTCCACAGATTCTGCTTCCTGGGTCGCCGGCCTGCACCCGAGTGAGTCAACAACTTCCTTCCCCTCTGGGCGCTTCTACAGTCCCGCCTCCAGGCGGGAGGGGAGAGTGCAAAACAGAAACTAAAGCTTCTCTCTTCTAACTAGTGTTTCCTTGAACTTGCTGCCTGCCTCGGTCGGGTTAGTTGTCACGGGGTATTCAGGGTACCCCGGAAGGAGTCCTCACCTTCCAGGAACCCACAATCACCCTACTCCTACAGCTGGTGTCTCTCCTTTCTCCCACAGGATTCCCAGCTCCACCACCTGCCAGGTCTGGGGTGGGGAGGGGATGGTGCTGAGGACTTTGTGGCCCAGGGCTCAGCTCTCCTACAGGTGTCCTAAGATTGTAGCTAACACTTCTATAAAGCCTACATGTACCAAGTTTGTATATTAGCTTGTTTAAGTCTCACATTAACCTTAAGGGAAGAGGTACTGCTTTTCTTACTTCTTTGTGGATGAGGAAACAAAGATGCTGATAGTTTCAGTGTCTTGCCTAAGCCGGTATGAACTGACTTCAGAGTCTGGCTCTGAACCGTCAAGGTTTCCTATTTTCACGTAGGCTTCAGCGGTGTGCCACTCAGCTGGTTGTGAGGTGGCTGAGGAAGGGGTGAAGCATCCAACAGTGTAGTGAAGGGTCCCTGTCTGTGTTCCTGCCCAGTCCCTGACAGCTGCTCTTGCTGGCAAGGCCCTGGCATTGGTAGTGACTTCCCTGCTGGCAAGACTAAGAAGCACTTCCTGGGCGCTGTGGTCAGACGAACTAGCCCAGCCACAGGGCTGCTGACATTGTGGCGTACGCTGCAGTGGAAACTCCTCGGCGCCTCCCTGCTCCGCTCGCCCCCATGCCAACTCCTCCATGCCAATTCCCTGGTTAATACATGTTCCTGACAAGCATATGCTCCAGACAAGGGCCTTTGAGAACTCGGAAGCTTGAGGAGCCTTAAAGATTTAGGGTAGACAAAAGGTGTCCATATTTTACCTGCCCTAGGCCTGACCATGGCTGGAGGTTGTGGGAACTAGATAAGGCCAGCCCTAGGCACTCAGTCCTTCGCGGGGAGACCCAACCCTGCGGGTCACGTGCCAGCTCTCACTGGGAGGTGCTCGCCTTGGTACGCACTTTCCATCCTGTCCAGTGGCCCATGGACTCTGCTGGTTGGATCAAAAGTGGCCAGCAGTTAACTGCGGTTTCTAGAGTACCTGGGAACTTCGGGATCCACACCGTGAATTCTGGGGGAATCAGTCCACGCTATAGTTCTTAGACTGTAGTCTCTTTAAAAGCTAGTATGTGGGAGGGGTCAATAAATATTTGTTGAATTGAATTAATAAGTGAACAGCCAAAACTTTTGGAGTTTCCTTAAGATGCTGATCACCCCAGCTAGAGCTCCGTGCCCGTTGGGAGGAAAGAGGAGGTTGGGCTTCTTTATGGTTTGTGGGCTTTCATCTGCACCTGCACAGCTGGCGGAATCCACCTGAAGCAGACTTTACTGTAGAGATGTGGTGTATCTCACAGAATACAAACGCAGGCGCCGCAGGTCCTCAAAATGTCTCTTCAGGAGCTAACAGCCTTCAGAGGGGACAGTCGTTCCTTTCATGATTCTCTTTGGGGAGAAGACCCTGGGCTCAACTCCTGGGCTCTACCGGAGGGGAGCAGGTGGACAGGAGATCAAAGGGTGTTTAAAGATCTTTTTAAGGCTGGATTTCTTTTTTTTTTAAAGATTGGCACGTGAGCTAACAACTGTTGCCAATCTTTTGTTTTTTGTTTTTGTTTTTGTCCTCCCCAAAGCCCCCCAGTACATAGTTGTCTATTCTAGGTGTGAGTGCCTCTGGTTGTGTTATGTGGGACCCCACCTCAGCATGGCCTGATGAGCGGTGCCATGTCCACACCCAGGATCCAAACTTACGAAACCCTGGGCCGCCAAAGCGGAGCACTCGAACTGAACCACTCGGCCACTCGGCCATCCCCAAGGCTGGATTTCTTTAGATTGGGACAAGACCCTGAGGATCAGGGGTCAACCACTATAAACATAGGTTTGGGGGTATTCTCAGAGCCTGTACTATTTTTTGGCTCAAAATAGACCAAGCTCCTTTAAAAGAAGGAGGGGCAGGGAGAGGAACCTGGAGTGAGTGCCTGAGAAGACCCTCTGCTTCTGCAGGAGGGGACTGGTAAGGCACAGTTGCATCCTGGATTTTGGAGCCCCGGCTTTCCTGAGGCCCAGTGCCCCTGACCCCAGGTGTCCTAGGCTTTCGAGGTCTATTTGGGTGTCTCTCATCCCTTCAGTTCTCTGCTCCTGATTGTTTTGGCTACTTTCAGCCCATCCCTGGGAACTGGTCTGCTTCCTTCTCCCTAGTTTTTGGGGTGAGAGGACAGAGGGTATGTTTTTCTTCTTGCATATTTTAGCCCTAACTAATTCTCATCTTTTGTTTGAGTAAGAGATTCCAATTATAGATCAAATAGTATTAATTGAGGTGACAGTATAAAGGATTATGGAGAAGTTTCATTTTCGTAGTGTTTGAAAATTTTATATTAGCACGTTACTTTTATAAATGGTTAAAGAATGGAGAAGATTGTGATATAAGCAAAGATTTAGCTGTAAAGATATTCACCAAACTGTTGTTTAAAATAGTGAAAAAATAGAACCCTAAATGTTCAATCATAGGAAAAAGTCTGAAAAAATTATGCAATGGAAGATTATGTAGCCATTAAAATGATGCTTTAGACCCATATTTATTAATATGACAGGTATTTACCATATACCAAGTGGAAAGAAAACAAGTTATAAAACAATATGTTCTCCCACCCGCACTCTCCACCCAGCCAGCTTACCCTCTTCACGGGGAAACTCGGCCAGAATGGAATGCGCATCCTCCAGGGGCCATCACATGCCCCCTCGCAGGCTCCTGGGAATCTGTAGGCTTGGCCATTTCTGCCACACGGCAAGTCCTGTGTCCCCTTGACACAGAGGAAGGAGGGCTGTCTATGTCCCAGGCCCTGGTGGGGAGAGACGCCCCTGCCCGGAGCAGCTCAGACCCAGCCCTCTGGGCCACTCAGGCCTCTCAGGCCTCGGGTCCCCAGGATCTGCTACCAGCAGTTCCACCTCTGGGTGTATCCCCAAAGGGACTGAAAGCAGGGACTCAGATATTCGTACACCAATGTTTATAGTAGCATTATTTACAATGGCCCAAAGGGGAAAACAACCCAAATGTCCATCAACAGATGAATGGATATACAAAATGGGATGTATACATGCAAAGGAATATCATTCAGCCTTAGAAAGGAATAAGTTTCGGACTCATGCTACAATGTGGATGAACCTTGAAGCTATTTTGCTAAGTGAAATAAGCCAATCACAAAAAGATAAATATTGTATGATTCCACTCATATGAAGTACCTAGAATAATCAAATTTCTAGTGACAGAAAGTAGAATGGTGGTTGCCAGGGGCTAGGGGGAAGAGGGAATGAGGTGTTACTGATTCATGGGTACAGAGTTTTAGTTTGAGAAGATGAAAAAGTTCTGGAAATGGATGGTGATGATGGTTATGCAACAATGTGAATGTCCTTAATACCGCTGAACTGTACGCTTAAAAATGGTTAAAAAGGGGCCAGCGCAGTGGCACAACTGTTAAGTGCACACGTTCTGTTTCGGTGGCCCAGGGTTCACCATTTTGGATCCTGGGTGCAGACATGGCACTGCATGTCAAGCCATGCTGTGGCAGGCGTCCCACGTATAAAGTGCAGGAAGATGGTCACGGATGTTAGCTCAGGGCCAGTCTTCCTCAGCAAAAAGAGGAGGATTGGCAGCAGATGTTAGATCAGGGCTAATCTTCCTCAAAAAAAAAATTATATAAAAAAAGGTTAAAATGGTAGCTTTTATGTTATGTATATTTCACCACAAGAAAAGGCCTGTTAAAAATATGATTCCCATGTATTAGATAGGGATGAGTGAAGATTTATATCAGCAAACATTTAGTTATTCAATTTGAACACTAAATTTTTCTGGGAAGAAAGGAAGTGTATATATGTATATCATATATCATACATCATAGTGTATCATGTATATATAATATCATATATATGTACAGTTAGAAAAATATCTAATTGGACAAATAGAAAAATGTTTAAAGTAATGGCTGGTGGGTTTACAGTGTCGATGCAAATAATCCATAACCAATTTATAAATGAAAATTTGGGTGAGTTTGTTCTGAGCCAAAATGTGAGGAGCATAGCCTGGGGCCTTCCTTCCCCGAGGAAGGAAGGGCACCAAAGAAGTGGGGTGTACAGAGTGGTTATATACCCCCAAAGAGGATGTTTCACATATGATTGAAATGTCCCTTTTACAATAGTCACGAGACTGCTCAGCGGCACAGCACAGCGATTGATGGACACAGCAGGTAGTAGGTTTGTTGTCTCGGTGGACACAGCAGGGTGGCAGATCTGTTGTCTTGAGCTGGGTGGTCACAGGTGAGCACAGCAATCAGTTCCTAGCCTAGGGAGAGATGCTTATCCTTAAGGAAATGCCATTTGTAGGGGGAAGTTGCACCTTTATCTTAAGGGTATTTGTTCTTGCCATAGGAAATGCTTAAAGCGGGTACACAATGGATATACAATGCATGCTCAATGGCTACGTCAGGCCCTTTTGGAAAAACAAAGTCAGGCTGAATTAGGTTTACACCAAATGGCTTCCTCATATACTCCCATATATCCTGTGGCTTGCCATTTCTATTTGTCAACAGGTGATTTTTATTTTCTTATATTTTATATTTGTATTTTTTTTCTCTATTGTCTAACTCCTAAAATGAATTCATGAAAGTTATATAGTAATGCTACATTTCAGCCTCCTCTTTCCCCCCAGGACATTGACCAGAGATATCCCACTACCCTCACCCTGAAATCTACTCTTTGATGCTCCCTCTTGATTCCTTGCAGCTGTAAGTATGCTTGCTGGTGTCACTTTAGATACTTGACTGAAGTTAGCCCTTGGTGTTCCAATGATGAGTGGGATTTTGACAGACATAAACCTGGGAGAGGTGAGTCCAGTCAGAGAGGACATTGTGAGCAAAGGTGCAAAGTTCACAGTGTGACCTTGGGAAATGACAAGGAGTCCAAATTGGCTGTGCGACCCTTTGTCCCCCAGGTGTCATTATTGTCATCAAAAGTGATAAAAGCTAGTCTTTTTTACCCTTGATAGCTCACAAAGCACTTTCACAGAAAGTCATCACAATCTTGTAAGGTCAGGTCTATTGTCAAGTTTTGCAGATGAAGAAATAAAAAGACCTCATTTTAGCTTCTACAAGGCAAGGGAAAACAGGATCAAAACAAAAAGACAACCTACCATTTGGGAGAAAATATTTGCAAATCATAAATCTGACAAGGGGTTCATCTCCATAATATATAAAGAACTCATAAACTCAACAACAAAAAATTAACAACTCAATAAAAAGTGGACAGAGGATATGAACAGACATTTCTCCAAAGAAGATATACAGATGGCCAACAGGCATGTGAAAAGATGTTTAACATCACTAATCATTAGGGAAATGCAAATCAAAACTACACTAAGATATCACCTTATACCCATTAGAATGGCTATACAAGACAAAAAAATAAATGTTGGAGAGGTTGTGGAGAAAAGGGAGCCCTCATACACTGTTGGTGGGAATGTGAATTGGTGAAGCCACTATGGCAAAAAGTATGGAGATTTCTCAATAAATTAAAAATAGAAATACCATATGACCCAGCCATCCCACTACTGGGCATCTATCTAAAGAACTTGAAATCAACAATTCAAAGAGACTCATGCACCCCTATGTTCATTGCAGCATTATTCACAATAGTCAAGATGTGCAAACACCCCAAGTGTCCATCGACTGATGATTGGATAAAGAAGATATGGTGTATATATACAATGGAATACTACTCAGCCATAAAAAAGACAAAATCGTCCCATTCGCAACAACATGGATGGACCTTGAGGATATAATGTAAAGTGAAATAAGCCAGACAGCGAAAGACAAACACTGTATGATTTCACTCACTTGTGGAAGATAAACAAACACATGGACAAAGAGAACCATTTAGTGGTTACCAGGGGAAGTGGGGTGGGGGCTGGGCATAAAGGGTGAAAGGGTGCACCTGTATGGTGACTGACAAATATATATAATCATGTACAACTGAAATTTCACAATGTTGTAAACTACCGTAACCTCAATAAAAAAAAAAACCTCATTTTATGTTGTGAAAAACAAACATCAAGAAGAGCCTTTTTACTGCCACAGTGCAGATCCCTCCCACTGGTGCAAGGCTGCTCTCTCTCCAGGGGACCCTTATCTCTGCTCCCAGCTACTGAAAAACAAACCCACCAGAGGGGGAAGGGGTAAGACTCTGGGTAAGTGAGCTGTCACTTTTGGGGACTGGGCTGCACTCAACTTGGAAAAGTCACAAGACAAACTCCAGAGTTTGAGCAGAGAAGAGTTATGGGGAAAACGTTCCACTTGCAATGGGATCTGTGATATTATGATTTATAAGAAATGTTTATTTGGACCCTGTTCCTGGTGCAGAGCTCCTAAAACTCTTGGAATTTCTTGTGACGTGAGTGAAAAATATGTCTTCTGTTATGTTAATGAAGTGACTTTTGGAAAGCCCTTAGGTAACCCAAGGATGGGGGACTGTTGCCAGGGGAACCAACCCTGTGATTGGAGGGTTGGCACTTTCAGTCTCAGGGGAGAGGGGAGGGGCTGGAGGTGGAATCAATCGCCAATGGCCAATGATTTAATCAATTGTGCCTAGGTAATGAAGCCTCCATAAAAACCCAAAGGGACGAGCTTCCGGGTTGGTGAACAGGCGGAGGTGCTGGGAGAGTGGCATGCTCAGAGAGCATGAAAATTCTGGGCCCCTTTCCACATACCTCACCCTATGCATCTCTTCCATCTGGCTGTTCCTGTGTTATATACTTTTATAATAAACCAGTAATCTAGTAAGTACACTATTTCGCTGAGTTCTGTGAGCCACTTCAGTAAATTAATCAAACCCAGGCAGGGTTTGTTGGAACCTCCAATTTGTAGCCAGTTGGTCAGAAGCTCTGGTGACCAGCAAGACTTGAGACTGGCCTCTGACATGGAGACCGGGGAAGGGCAGTCTTGTAGGACTGAGCCCTTAATCTTGTAGGACTTAGCCCTTGTTGAATTAGCCCATAACTAATCTCCAGGTAGATAGTGTCAGAATTCGTTGAATTGTAGGACACTCTACAGGTGTCCGAGAATTGCTTGGTGGTGTGGGCCTCCCCTGCCCGCTTGCACAAACACATTGGAACTGGATCCAGAAGTTTTAGTTGGTGGCAGTGATGGGCTCTCCTAGATGGGTCTTGGCTTATGAAAACATGCTTTGGGAAGAGAAGATGAAAGGGCGGGGGATGAACACCTTTCATTCCTGGATGGCCACGTGGTCACCCATGGTGTGGGGCAGCAGCTGTGCTGTATTCAGTTACCAAAGGTAAAAGTTACCAATGGAACTTACAGATGGATCCAACTCCTGGGAAGTTGGTTCACTGGATGAATAAGGAAATGCACGCTGACAAGAAAAAGGCAAAAAATTCAATCCCTTGGTTATTGTTATCTGTAATAGCTAAAATGAAAGTAAAAGAAAGTGCTGAGTCTGGCCTTCATATTAAACCAAGCTCAGATTTTGGTGAGTCTGAGCTTTGGCTGCTAGCCTCAGAGCTGCCTAGAAAGGGAAAAATTATGCAGGAGCAACAGAGTGTGCCTCTAGGACCTCTGGTTGTCAAGAATGTAGTCAATATGTAGGAGGAGGGCAAAACCAAGAAACTATTGAAACCAGGAGGTACAGTGTGAAGAAGTTGCTTCACTTTGCGGATCGGTATCATCAGCTTCCTAAAGAACCTTTCTTAAAACAATTGCTAGGGTAATTTAGGGAGAGTGAAGCCTGTAGAGGAGAAGAGCATGTTTGGGTTGGTGCAGGACCCACAGCTCGCTATGCAACAATCACAGATGGTTATGTGTGATCCAGACACACAGGAAGTTATTCCTGAGGGTACAGCCAGCCTGGTGGACTGGATAAAAGCCACCGTAAGGTCTGTTTACTCTGAGAAGGGGAACTGTCTGTCTCCCGCTATGAATGCCCAGTGGAATACCCCAGATGAAGCAGCTGATAAGCTTCACATGCAAGTCATGTGGGACTGGCTTTATGATGACCAGAATATTCACCTGCTAACTATGCTTGTTACCCAGGTCATGGTAAATGCCGTGGTTAAGGGGGCCCTTTTCATGCAGGGGCCTCATATAACCTCATTGCTACAACACCAAAAAACAGTTCAGGGAGCCTTATCAAACTTGCTGCCTCAGCTTCCCCTCATGGGTCTTACAGATGCTAATAAAAACGTTAGGTTAGGGGCTGGCCTGTGGCCTGTGGCTTCAGCAGCCAGGGTTCAGTTCCCAGGTGCAGACTAATTCTGCTCATTGGTGGCCATGCTGTGGCAGTGACTCACATGCGAGATAGAGGAAGATTGGCACAGATGTTAGCTTAGGGTGACTCTTCCTCAAGCAAAAAGAGGAAGATTGGCAGTAGATGTTAGCTTAGGGTGAATCTTCCTCAGCAAAAAAAATTAGGTTAATTAACAAGCGAATGGAGAGAGGCCAAAGGGAGGACCAAGGGACTCTCCCCTACAAAGTGGACATTTTTAAACCGTTATTAAGAAGTAAGGTGAATAAAGCGAATATTGATAGGAGCGATAGATACAAAGAGGAATCAGAACGGGGAGAGTCATAGGACTCGTGCCAGCAGGGTGGGAATCTTTAGACGATTGTTAAGAAATGGAACGGAGAGGGGCTGGAATTGCTTGTTGGTGTGGGAAAGCATCTCCTCTCCCACACATACATTGGAACTGGGTCCAGAACTGTTAGAGTCCCACTTGCTGTGGCCCCTGCTTCTCACTGCCCTTGGGGTTCTTTTGGGGGAGCCCCTTCTAGTGCCCAGGGCATGCTCTTCTCTATTAGCATTCCAAGCAGGTCAAAAGTCCCTTTTAACTTGCTTTTTCTTAGCAAAGCTGAGAGACTGATGCTTTCTCAAGGAACCACGCTGCCCGTAGGGCCGCCTGCCCCGGCAAAATAGAATCCCGGCTCATCATCTGTTTCTCCACAGAGCACATTTCAGTGGTGTCCCAGTGGCCGAGCCTAAGTGGCCTGTCTGCACCCTCAAGGCCAGGGAGACTGGGAAGGGTCATTTCTTATTCTGCTTTAGCAAGATGGGACTAAAAAGATTTTAAGCAGCCATCAATGACGTGTCCACACACCTACAATAACCACAACGCAACTTCTGTCAGTGTGGAGTCCTTCTGTTTGCTTACTGTGTCCAGATATGTTGAAGATCTAATTTCTGTGCTCCCTCAGCACCTCTCATCCCAGCGGGGCAGGCCACTGCTTCTAATTGCTTCCCCAGCTGGAGGATGTTCTGTTTTTTTTTTTTTTTTTTTAATAAGGAGTTGAGTATAACCTAACCATCAAAGATACTGGCTCTGAAGTCAGGCTGTCTGGGACTGAATTCTGACTCTCCAAGTTACGAGCTGTTTGACATTTAGCAAGTTACTCAACCTTTCTGAGCTTCAGTTAATTATAGTAACTACAGGACTGGGCAGCGTGAGGATGAAATGAAATAAGGCATGAAAGAACACAGCACACTTCCAGGCACAAGGTATGTGCTCAATAAGTGATAGGCATTAATTATTACAATAAACATTTTTGTGTTTCCAATCTGAGGAACACTTCTAGTTCACAATTTACATGTAGAGCAGAGAAAAATGATTTCATGACTGCTCAGGGAAATAGCTGACTTTTCCTTCTGGTAAATTCCCAGCCCCACCCTTTCCTCCTAGGGCCCCTTCAATGACTCACTCCTCAGGTATTCTGCCTCTTCTCTCCCAGACAGATGTCCCGAGAGAGTGAATGCCCAAGTCAGTTGTGTCCCTCCCTGTGGCCTAGAGGAGAGAGGGCTTTGTTTTTTTAAATTGACGTCACATTGGTTTATAACATTGTGTGACTTCAGGTGTATATTATTATATATCAGTTTCTGTATAGACTGCATTGTGCTCACCACCAATAGTCTGGTTTTTATCCATCACCATACATGTGTGCCCCTTTACCCACTTCGCCCACCCCCAGCCCCTTCCCCTCTGGTAACCACTGATCTGTTCTCTTTATCCATGTGTTTGTTTATCTAGGGCTTTAATCCTGGGTCTCTAGCTTCTCAGTTGAAAGACCTGGCACAGAGTGCTCAACAAGGTTAAGGTCACACTGTTGACCCAAGGATGGGTGCTGGGCCTGAGGCAGCTGCTTTTGGTGCCCCAAGCCACATGTCCCCAGGCCACCTTTTTTTTTTTTTAAATTTTATTTTTCCCTTTTCTCCCCAAAGCCCCCCGGTACATAGTTGTATATTTTTAGTTGTGGGTCCTTCTAGTTGTGGCATGTGGGATGCCACCTCAGCATGGCTTGATGAGCGGTGCCATGTCCGCACCCAGGATCCGACCCGGCGAAACCCTGGGCCAGTGAAGTCGAGTATGAGAACTTAACCGCTCAGCCACGGGGCTGGCTGCCCCAGGCCACCTTTGATTGAGCTGCAGCTGGGTGGATGGTCCACGTCCCTGCCAGTGTCCCACGCAAGAGGACTTGTCTCTGTTTTTCTCCCTCAGTGGAGGGAAGTGTGGTGAGCGGAGAGTTAACGCACTGAGGGCAACCCTTACCCCGTGAAGGACATGGGTCAGTGCCCCAGCCTCCAGGCCTCCGGAGGGTCAATTCTGAAGTGTGTTCTAGAGTTTTTCAGAGGGTCTCTGGCTGGACAGAGCTCCACATCAGTAGCT